ATATGCCCTATCTCTTCTTTTGCTTATTTTCCATCTCAACCAAGACTTTGTATTCGACCCTACATACCTTTCTCTTTCTTTGAGTACTTTTACTTGCGATTTGTGTGCATTCTTGTGTGTGTGTGTGTGTGTGTGTGTGTGTGTGTAAGCATGAGTCTGCCTTTAGTGTCTTTCTACTTTCTCCCTAATCATGTGTGAAAAAAGCAAGAGAAAGAATGAATTTGAACAAGGAAGAGATTATATTAAAAAGGAGCTGTTAAAAAAAAGGAGCTGTTAGTGTTATAAAAAATAATTTTACATTAAAAAATGATTTTCTGTTTAAAGCCCTACGGAATGTATAAAATGGAAATGTAATTTATGTAGGCAAGTGATTATGTAAATGGTGCTTTCTGCCCAGCATCTCATTTTGGTTAAGTTGCATAGTTTTTTTAAGAAATATTTTTCAGCCAGCTTTTTCTTCATTTATCTGTTGTCTCTGAGGTGCTTATAAATTCTCAAAAAACAGACAAACTGTAACCACCAGGAAGAATCTTTTGGAAGTTCATTTAAAGTCTCTGTGATTAAAAAGACAAATAGGTGCCACTAGGCGGTTTTAGGAAAGTGTTGTTATGTACCGTCAAGTAAGAACCGAGTCATAGCTGACCTTACTGCATTTTCAGAGGCAGTAAGCCACGGAGGAAGAGATTGCCCATCTTTCTCCCATGGAGCAGCTGGTGGATTTGAACCCCCTACCTTTGGCATGGTAATGCAGCTCCTCACCCCTAAGCCACCAGACCTCGCTTTTAGGAAAATTATTGTTGTTATGTGCTATTGAATTGAGTACGACTCATAGCAACTTCATGAACAGTAGATCTGAGCCTGCCCTGCCCTGTGCCTTCTTCATCATCTCTGACGTACTTGTGCTGTTGAGTCGTAAAAGCCGTATAACTGACCATCCAGCAGATTTTCAGAGACAGTAAATCCTCCTCCTTCCACAGAGCAGCTGGTAGATTTGAATTGTGTGCCTTTGGGATTGCAGTGCAGCTTCTTACCGCTATGTGTGTTGAGTCCCCAAACTGAGCTTCGAAGGACAAGTTTTAAAAGCCCACTTGAGAAGGGTGAGTATGTAACCTCAGAGCTCAGCAGGGTCCTTCATGGGCCAGGAGTGAGTTGTTTACCCTGTGTCAACCCTGCTCAGTGTTGGAACTTTCTGGAATCATTGGCACAGGAAGTTCTATGTGTTGCTGCCAAAGATTGATGTCCTCTGCTTGGTGCTCTGGGGGTACAACCAGCCAGTGGCCCCACCACCAGCAGGAATCACAAGCGTCTGGCTCAGCCGGGGCCACTGTGGCATTGTTTCAGAGAACTCACGGTTAGCAATGAGGGAGGGCAGGATTTCAGATGCTGTTTCATAAACAACTTGGGCAATATTTCATTTAGTATTGTAACTGTGATTTTTTTAAAAGCCCCCTCCCATTTCATTTGACTAGCTGTAGTGTCTAAAAAGGTAGACGAATAATCCCTTTTTGGCATTACTAGCATCATACCTGACTTTCCCAGTGTAGGACTAGCCTACCAGAAGAAGATAACAGAAGCCAATGGAAGATATAGCAAGAAGGACTCAGATTCACAGATTGTCCTTGGAGACCAGCAAGGGGAAGACTAGAGGGGAGGGAGGTACCTGAGAGGACTCGTGATTGAGTGTCACCTGGGAGGGGTGCTGCTGAAAACTAGGGCAAAGGGGCTGGAAAGAATCCTGACCAGCACTGCAGTGGGAGACCACACCCTCCCTGCCTATTCTAATGCAGTGACATAGTTTTTCACCTTGCCCAGGACAGCATAGAGGAGGTTAGAGTGGAAGAACACGTGTCCATTCCTATCCCAGGACTCAGGCAGCGTAGGGAAGTGGAGTCAGAAAGGCCTGGAATCCCTCCCTGCTTTGTCTCTGCCTCACTGCATGACTGCAGACGAGTTTCTTAACCTCTCTGAGGCTTTCCTTAATTGTAAAATGAAGAAGTAATATTACTTACTTCACAATCTGTATAAGAATGAAGTGAAGAGATGAGTGAAAAACTAGTTTTTTTGTAAACTTTTTTTCAAGTCACAATTTTAAAAAGTCCAGTCACTGTTAGGTCCTTGATAGTGATAGCTACAATTACTGTTTTATTCACATAACAGCTATACAAATGTAAACATATAAATTGCCCTCATTAGATTTCTTAAAACATAAAAAAGTAAAAGAACAAATGACACATCCCTCTTAGAACTTGTTCTAAATGCTGAATTGTTCAGATTAATTTGTACAGCTTCAATTTGCCCTCTTAAAATAATGAAACTTATGGAGAGGAGAGACTAAGGAAAGGTTTACACACAGATAGAAACAATTGTGGAGGGTTGACAGGGACAGGAGGGGAAGGACACAGAGCGAAGATTGGCAGATGGGGGGATAGGGTGGGGGGAGAGGGAGGGTCGAGCAAGGTTTCAGTAAAACGTAAGTCAATGATGATATTGTACAATGATGGAATTGTACAATTGCAGTTAATGTTCCAAAACAAAATGTATGTCAGTGATTGAATGAAAACCAGTTTTTTCAAACTGGTGAACTAAAGTCTGACTAGCAGTCTCAGATCCTGTGGAAATGACCTGTAGTCCTGGGTGAGTGAGCTGCATTTTTTCCCTACCAACTCCAAGTAATAAGAGACTAGTTTTAAGAATATCTACTTGGTCAGACTGCCTCAGCTCCACCCACTCATAGTCTCCTTTGTCTTCTGTGGCTTCTTAGAGTGCAAAAAATTGTTTAATTCCCTAAGTAGTACTATTTTTTTCATCCTATAAAAATGATACCTAGTTTTCTTCTAATAAACTTTCTGGAATTTTACATTAAATAGCTCTAGGGGAAAGATTTTTTTTTTCTTTTGAAGAACTCAAACTTTGAATATTTAAATACCATTTTCTTCCATGACAATTTTGATTTTTTACCTCCAGCACCAGATTAATAGCAATACAGTTGTGTTGTTGTTATGTTGGAACCGACTCAAAGCTGGGCTTCCATAGGGTTTTACACAGTAATTCACAAGGTAGAAGACTGCTCATCCTTCTCCTGGAGAGCAGCTGGTGGATTCGAACCATGTGCCTTTGGGTTGACAGCACAACTCCTTACCACTAAGTCACCAGAGCCCCTAGATATACAGTAAAACCTGAACCTGTATAATGCAGCAGACTGTCAGCTGAGGATAACTCAAGTATTTTCCATGAATAGCAAAAGAAAAGTAGTGCTGTACCTGTCAAAGGCAGAAGACTTACATGACCCTCCAGAATGAAGCAGAACTTTCTGTTTTCCCCTCTATAAGTTTCACTGTTGATGATTATTGTTGCCTTCAGGTCAAGCATGACTCATAGTGACCCTATGAACAAAAGGCCTGAAGCCTTTCTGGAGCTATCATCATTTATCAAAGTTCATAGAGTTTCCAGGGGCTTGTTGAATAAGTAGATGTGCCACCCCTGCTTGCAACTCCCTTTACCATCTGCAGACAGGCTACATGTAAGTTCTCCGTGCTGCAGATAAGTTCAGGGTTTTGAGCAGTTCACACACTGCTTTCTGCCTCATTTGCATATGGAGGAGGCACCATTTTTCTAATCAGATTCCTACAGTCAAAGCTAGCTTTTACTTCTCTTTGATATTGAGGCATTTTATCGGTGCAATGATCAAAGTTCTGTTAAAGAAAAAACTGCACAAAAAAATGAAAACACTCTTTCATACGCCTTATTTATGCTTCCCATTTTATCCAACCCCTTCCTCTGTCTCATCTTTAGAAATAAACATAAATAAACTTGCACACTTGATTTATTAAGGAAGGGGATTCCAAAGGAGTGTTGGTAGAACCCTGAGCCCTGCTCAACCTTAAAGCAAAAAAGAAAGGATTAGAACAGATAAAATGTGAGAGGAGTAAAGGCAGGAAGGGGCTACAATGAGGGAGACCAGAACAGTGCTTAGAATACTAGCAGTGTTAGTTTTATTTACATTTCCTGAAGTACTCTGGCTTTTTGTGAAACATAAAATGATACAGAGAAAAGGACTTAGTCATTAGATAGTCATTGTATCGAGAAAAGGACTTAGTCGTTACCATATTACATTGTTTTTACTTGCTTTCACAGGTTAATTTGTTTGCTTTGTTGACGCTGTTAGATAGTTGAAGGAAAGAGTTGGGTATTCATTCCATATTTGTGAATTCTAAATTCCAAGTTAGCAAAGTGTTACAGAATGGAAGATAATGACTGTTTTCAGACTAACTCTTGTTAGCATGATGCTTGGGAAGGGTTATCGCTACAGCTTTAATACCCTTTCTTCTCAGCATAGTCTCTACCTGTGGCCCAGATAGAAAACACAGGCACTGTTGGGAGAGCTTCAGCTCTTGTTTGATTGTGTGGGCCTTAGACCTCCAGAGTTCAGCTTTTTTAGGGGGAGCTGTCCCTCTTTGGTAGCCATTACCTACAACAGAAACGCATGTGAGATTATTTACCCCAGAGCTAGAATTTAGATAATTTGAGCAATACCTTTGCAGAGTAAACTGGATCACCACATCAAACACAAGCATCCTGTGTTTCTAGCAAGACATTCATTCACCTGTGAAACTTAAACACATTTTGGGGAAGTGGAGATAGGACCAATTTAATGGTACTTTTTGTCCTTACATGGGTCTTTCCCTGCTGCGAGCTCAGACCTAGCCTGGTTCACAGGACCCTATGTTCTGACTTTGGTTGTGGGGATTCTCTTGGGGAGGGCCTGTGGGGCACAGTCATCCCCCAGGTGTGAGGAATGTGCTCAGGACCCCAGGTCCTGTTGGCTGTGTGAGGTCAGCCAGCGTTGCTCCTCTGACACCCGCTGCAGTGTTGTGTACAGTGGTGGGCCTCTTACCTCCAGGAGGTAGGACACCAGCGTGCGACATGGAGGTGGGAGCGTAGAACGTGATTCTCTTACCTGAGATCTAGCTCTCCTGATTACATTTTGTTTTGTTCATCAGATGATGATTCAGATCTGTACTCTCCTCGATACTCCTTTTCTGATGACAGTAAGTGACTTTGAAATCCTGGTGTGGGGGAGGCAGGGAGGGTGGTGGTGGAGGGAACTCATTCCTGTTGTCAGTTTTCCTGGGAAGCCGTCCACTTTGAAAACCCTTTGTGTGTACTTTCTTTCTGCAGCAAAGTCTCCCATTTCCGTGCCTCGGTCAAAAAGTGAGACGAGCTACATAGATGGTGAGAAGGTAGTTAAGAGGTCGGCTACCCTACCGCTCCCAGCCCGCTCTTCCTTCCTAAAGTCAAGCTCAGAAAGGTAGGTATCCCAGTTGTTTGCTCATTGTTACCAGCCAGGACCTCGTCAGTGTCTGTTGAAACTTAGGAGCCTCTTTTCTTGAGAAAAATGAAAGCAGAGCTTTCCTTCTATCTGTCTATCTCTGTATGTGAACACAGTCAGCCCTGGTTTTAGTCTCTTGAACACAAGTTTTAGTCTCTTGAACACAAGTGTGCTCTCCCTCAGTGGGTCAGGCAACATCATAGCCCAGAGCCAGGTAGACCTCAAGTCTGTACCATCTCACACTGCTATCGAGTCTGAACTGGTACATAACTGAGTCTCCAGTGATTTTTAGAGGCTGTACATTTCAAGGAAGGAGATTGTCTGTCTTTCTCCTATGGAACCCTTGGTGGATTCGAACCACTTGCTCTTGGGTTGGCAGTGTAACTCCCTATCCACCGCGTCACCGGAGCTCCCTGTAAGCAATGAGTTATTCTTTTTTTAGTCTCAACTTCCTTATCTCTCAAAGGGAGACAGGGAAACTCCTACATGCTGTGGGGATAAAAGGGAGCTAATGCACACAGCAGTCTTAGTAATGCCTGACCCATAATATACGCTTAATTAAGGTTGAGTATGACTCATTTTTCGCAAGAAAAACCTTAGCTGTATTTCAGTAGATTTTATCAGGTATTTTTATACTCTGTGTGTATGCTGACAAGGGTTAGAGCACAAAAATTTTTTTTTAATTATTATTATTTTTTATTATCTTTTTGTGTGTGTACTGTCAAATCAGATATGATGGGTACAGGAGGAGATTGTCCTTCCTTCTCCATCTGGTGGATTTGAACCGTGCACCACTGGGATTGCACGGCAGCTTCTTGCCACGAGGCCACCACAGCTCGCACGAGCACAAAAAATTTTAAGAAGCAAGCTATCCTTTTTTGTACCTGCTTTATTTATGCAGCAGACGTAACTTTGAGGCATAAAGCTTTAGAGTCGTTCCAATGCTGGCATTGTTGTTGTTGTGTACCGTAAAGGCAGAACCAACCCATAGCTGACTCTCTGAAGGATTTTCAGAAGCAGTTAATGACACGGGAAATTGTCCCTCCTTCTCGCACAGTGATGGCATTAGTCTTGCTAAAAGCCCACCTGAATGGCCCCATTTTCTTGTATTGACTTCTGATTCTTTAAAAATGCCCTGTAGTAACCTTCAGATGCTGTCTGGACTGGTGTCCCTTGTACCTTCAAGCCTTACCTGCCAATTCTTTTAAACACATTCAGTGACTGGCCATATGGCTTCTTTTTTCGTTCATTTATGCACTCAGTTCCATGCCTCTGAATCAGAAAAATGAGATTATCGCTTAAGTATAAATGGAGTTTTAAAAGCCCCGCTTGTACTTAAGTGATATCTAACTGAAGCATGAGAGAATTAATCTGAAGTTTAAGCACATTTTTATTATTATTATTTTATGTGTGTACCATCAAATCGTGTCTAACTGGTACAGGAGGAGATTGCCCCTCCTTCTCCAGCAGAGCATCTGGTGGATTCAAACTGAATACCTCTGGGATTGCAGTGCAGCTTCTTGCCACTAGGCCACCAGAGCTCCCTCAAAGTTTGAGCACATTTATAAATCCTTTACAGGTACATTCATCAAGCACCCAATAGGGCTGTCTATGTATAGATTGATGGAGGACTATGAGCATAGATAGACCACCATTTCTGCCTTCAGGAATTTTATAACTTTATTATTAGTGAATGTTTTGATAAAAGAGTTGTGAAGAATCCTGATCACAAAGGAAGGAGATGCAGAGCAGAATTGCAAGTTATGATGGAATGCAGAATTTTTGGAGCCATGTTTTTGTTGTTGTTGATTTCATGGAGTCAAGCATGACTCATAATAACTCTATGAACAAAAGACCAAATGCCTTTCCATAACTATCGTCATTGCTCCAAGTTCATAGAGTTTCCAGAGTCATGTGGTTTAGAAAGTGGATGCCACTCCTGCTTCCCAACCTGTTTTACAACTGGGAGCTCCACCAAACACTGTCCCCAATGGGAAACCATTCTGATATTTGATACCCCAAAGGCACAAGGCTCAGCATCACAGCAAAATGAGGTTACTTCATCCAGCATTTTGACAAAGAGTGATGTACACAGTGGAAGAGTGTTTCTCCAGATATAACAGCACTAGTCTCATTTAGCAGCGGTTAAGTGTCATCAAGTCGAATACAACTCAGCGTAAGCTTTGCACAAAAGACCTGAACTCTGTTCTATAACTAATACAATTTCTGTACATTTCTAGAGTTTAGTGGCAGAGATTAGATAAATCCTTGAAACTACTGACCCGAGACAATCTTTAAACCTTAAATCAATAATATTCCTTAAGTTTTTAAAGAATAAAAAGTCATTGCTGTCAAGTCGGAACCACCTCATAGCTGACCTCCATTGCCTTTCAGAGGCTATAAATTGCAGTGGAAGAGAGAGCACATTTTTCTCCCAGGGAGCCGCTGGTGGATTCAAAGTGCCAGAGACGGAGGGTCTTTGAGTTAGCAGAGCAACTGGCTACAAACTCCACCACCAGAGTTCCCCAAACCGAACAATGTTGTTATTTGTTGTTGAGTCAGCTATGACTCCTAGCGACCCTATTAACAGCAGCTCCGAACCCTACCCTGCCCTCTCCTGAGCCAATCTCCTATCTAACACACCTGACACCATTGCCACAGTCCCTATATCAATCCATCTCATTGAGGGCCGCCTTCTCTTGTGCTAAACATTTACCCTTCGAAGTATATCTTTCTCCAAGCACTGACTCCTCCTGACAACATACTCAATGTATATGAAATAGAGTTTCAAAGTCTTTGCCTCCAAGGAGCAACCTGTCTTCATCCTATCCAGGACAGACTTGTTTGTTCTCTTGGCAGTCTGCGGTATGTTCAACACTCCTCCCCAACACCACAGCACAAAGACATTGATTATTCTTCTGTCATCCTTAGTTGTTGTCCAGCTCACAGATGCACAGAAACATCAAGCAATTGAGAAGACCATGGATTGGACCTGGCATACCTTAGCTTTTAGATGGACATTGTTGCTCTTTCTTACTCTGGAGAGATCCTGGACAGATGATTCTCCCGGTGTAACTTAACTTGTCTTTTGATTTCCTGACTACTGGTGCCAAGGGTCATCAAGCAAGATGAAATTGTTAGCAACTTCAATTTTTCTCCATTTATCATGATGCTGCCTGTTGGCGCAGTGGTGAGGATTTTTGTCTTCTTGATATTGAGAGGAAATCCGTATTGAAGATTGCAGTCTTGAACTTCAAGCAGCAAGCTTCAAATCCTCCTCAGTTTTGGTGAACAAAATTATATTATCTGCATAATTCAGGTTGTTGGTGCGTCTTCCTTTAACCCTGATGCTTCATTCTTTTTCATAAAGGCCAGCCTCGTGAATGTTCTATTCAGCATATAAAAAACAAACAATAAAAAAAAATAATAAAGCTTAATTAGTGAATAATACCTGCTTTGAGCATTGCACTTTTCTTAAGAATTAGCGCATGAGATCAAATTGACAACAGCAACATGAAAAGTTAGAACCAATTTTGAAAAGTAGTTAATGATGGAAGAATATTTTGGGAAAGTAGGTTGAGAACGATCACAGAACTTGAACAGTGTGATTGGTGTCACTAAATTGTGCTTGCAGAAATTGTTGAATTGGTGTATGCTTTGTTGTATATACATTTTCAACAACAACAACAAATTAAAGAAATACATGTTGTTATGTGCCATCAAGTCGACTATGACTCATGGTGATCCTATTGTGTATCCTCAGCCAACCTCATTGTCTCTGTGACAGCTACCTGTATTACCCTGGTTATTGTGTCAATCCATCTCATCCCGGTGTCTTCCTCTCCTGCACTGTCCCTCAACCTTTCCAAGCGTGATAGCCTTCTCCAAAGACTGGTCCCTCCTGGCTATATGACCCAAGTATGTGAGACAGAGTCTCAAAATCCTTGCCTCCAAGGAGTAGCTTGGTTTCACCCTCTCCAGGACAGACTTGTTAGTTTCTTGGCGATCTATGGTATGTTCAGTAATCTTCTCCAGCACCATAACTCAAAAGCATCAATTGTTCTTTGTCATCTTTGCCAATTATCCAACTCTCTGATGCACAGCAAGTGATAGCCTGACTTTTTTTAAAGTTCGTATTCTTTTCGGAAAAACTAAATATAATCATAATGAGAAAATATATACATTTAAAGTCTGTATGTCATCTCAAAAGGATACATGTGATCCTCTGAACCCAGCTCTGGAACTGATGTTAAGTATTTCTATCAAAGGCTTAAAGTGATAGTTGGTGGGATAGGGTTTGAAATAGCCATAGACATAAGAGCAGGTAACATTTATTGAGTGATTTGGGGGTGCTTGTTACTGCACTAAGTCACTTATGTATTATGATCTGATTATCATTTAATGCTCACTGTTATTTACTTTTGAGTTGATTCTGATTCCTGTTCACCCTACACATGTCAGTGTAAAACGATACTCCACAGGATTTTCAGTGACTGATTTTTTAACAAGTTGTTGTGGTTGCTAGGTGCCATTGAGTTCAGTATGACTCATAGCAACTCTATGAACAAAAGATCTGAACCCTGTTTTATCCTATGCCATCCTCAAACTTCCTGATACACAAGAGCCCTTTGTGACAGTCACTGTGTCAATCCACCTGGTTGAGGATCTTCCTCTCCTTCAACAACCCTCCCCCCTTCCCAGCATCATGTCCCTCTCCAAAGAATAGCACCTCCTAGCAACATGCCCTAAGTATGTGAGGTTAAGCCTCATCTTTCTTACTTCCAAAGAGCACTCCAGCTGCACACTCTCCAAGACATGTCTGTTTGTTCTTTTGGTCATCTATAGGATGTTCAGTGCTCTTCTCCAACACCACAGCTCAAAGGGTCAATTATTTTCCTGTCATCTTTATTCATTGTCCAGCTCTCAGATGCGTAGCAAGTGATCACAAAGACTATGGCCTGAATCAGATGCACCTTAGTCCTCAAACTTACATCATTACTCCTCAGTAATTTGGAGAGGTCCCTAATTGTAGATTTTCTCAGTGCAATGCGTCTTATTTCCTGACTGCTGGTACCAAGGGTGTTAACTGTGGATCCAAGCAGAGTGAAGCTGTTGACAGTTTCAATCTCCTCTCACTGCTAACAAGTAAATCACTGACATTTCCTTCTGTGATGCCTGTTGGTGGACCCAAAGCACTAACCGTTTTAGTTATCTGCCAAGAATATTTACTGTTAGCAATACCAGGGTCTCATAATCCTCTCACAGCCCCACTCCCACCCCATCATCATTTTTGAGATGAGAAAACTGAAGCATCTAAGATCAAGTGTGTGGCCAAGATCACCTCACTAGTCAGTAGTATAACAGAGATTTGAGTCACACCCAGCTGACTTGAAAGCCCTGCCTTTTCCCAAGCTGCACTAAGTGAATAGGAAATAATAGGCAGGTGTGTGTTTGCTGAATGATAAACACAGGAGAACAGAGCAAGGTGAAAGACTTTTCCAGAGCAGGCTTTGCTGTTTTTTCCTCCCTCCCTTCCTTCCTTATCTCTCCCTCTTTCCTCTCTGCCTTCGTGCTACCTGGTTTTGAGCCCAGAGTACCTCATGCCCTTTGCAAAGTGAAAACAAAGACTGAACTGGTTGCTTTGAGGAGGAAGCTATCACAATGTAATTGTTCCCCGAGCCTGATTTTTGGGAGGGAATTGGACTGCCGAATCCACCAGTTCCTCTGAGGGAGAAAATGGAATGAACTCCTCCCATGTGATTTACACCCTCTTGAAAACTGACTGGAGGATCAACTATGTGTCAGTTCCAACTCCATGGCGAAGAGTAGTAGTAGAATAGTCTGTTTTATGCTTCAGATATGCAAACATTCAGCCAGGGTCAGACTGTGTCAAAAGCAGGTGCCACTCTTCATAAAAACAGCTCTAATAGACTATGTTTTCTTCTGCAGAAACGACTGGGAGCCCCCAGATAAGAAAGTGGACACAAGGAAATACCGTGCAGAGCCCAAAAGCATTTACGAGTATCAGCCGGGCAAGTCCTCCGTTCTGACCAACGAAAAGATGGTAATGTGCATCTTAAAGCTCTTTGTCTCATGCTGCCCCGATTTCTCAAATCCGGATGCATTGTACTGTGAGATTGCATTCCTTCCCCCTGGAGATAGACATGCTTTGTTTAGAAGACAATGAAAATGTGAAGTATTTTTACCCTTTTCATTTTTGCAGGTGTTCGTAGACTAAGTTCTGAAAGTCTGCTTCTAAAGAAATCCTCTTACTGTGGCTCTGACTCTTTGTGCATGGTTTTTACTAATTTTAATTTTTATACTAATGTCAAGGTTTGATTTTGCTGCTGTCTGGTTTTTAAATGCTTAACAGTTTCATTTGTCAGGCTGTTAATTAACCAAATTGAAGTCAGTTCATTGTTGCTGTTTTATTTTTTAAGTGATTCTTAGCTGAATGGAATAGTTTTGTAGACATGAATGTGACATTGTAACTTGGTAGAGAAAAACCCAAGGCTTTTAGAATGTGTCTTCTAGGTGTTCAGGAATGATATGTGCAAGGTTGAGACTAGATTTCAGTTCAGTCGGCTTTATGGCTCCTTATACGAATTCACTTCTCCAAGAAATTTTACGTTGTGGGAACTGTAGAAACGGCAGACCACTTTGGAAAAGCAACACATTTTATGCATCAGGAGAGAATATTTACAAACCCGTTATTTTCATATTTACCAATCATGCTTTCTCTTGACAACTCACCATTAGAAAACTCTGGTTCATAGTTCTGATTGTGGTAAGAAGGGTTATCTTAAGCTCCAGAGAATTTGCAGCCCACTGAACCCATGACAGTGGGCTAGAATTGTCATGCTGCGGGTTGATTTTGAGTAAAATACCATTGTTACAACACAATGTACCAGAAGGATCAGGCCCTGGGATGCAGATTCTAGTTCTTTTTCCCTCCACCCCTTCTGCTCTACATGCTTTTAAGGAATAATTGATGTGACTTTTACTAAAATAAAAATGTGCCATCTTTAGAGGCACGGAGGGATAAGTCATTTTAATTTGGAGAAGAGGTCAGGAGTTCACAGAAGTGCTTTGGGGTTGTCACTCTCCGGCTTTTGCTGTGGGCTGAAGTTATTTAAAGCACAAAGGTGAGAGACGTGCAGTTTTTCCTCTGATTCCACCCTTGCCTGGAGGCTTTCTCTTTGTTAGAAGGTTCCTGGTACACAATAAACGTGCAGCTGCAACCTTCCACACAGGGGTGCGAGAAAGTCAGCTATTTGACTATCCTCCTGACATTTCATTACAAGCCTGGGACCCACCAGAACATATCAGGGACTTTTTTTAAGCCATTGGGTATTTTCTTTTGTTTTCATAATAGTGCTCTTTATAAGATTGTCATTGCTTTGACCAACATCTTGTCTCTTGTCATGTTTTATTCTCTGTTTTCCTTTCTTTTTTGGTTCCTAGCAATGTATCCACTATTCAGAACTAAAGAGTAGCTTGGAAACCCAACTAGTTTAGGGTGTGGATTTTCTTTTCTTTTCTCCTTGATGTCACATTGATCACAAGTGTCTTCCATATTGCAGTTTGGGGGTCATCTGTATTGTTTTTACAAACATGGAAAATAAACTGGCAGGGACCCTAGGGAGATGTGTTTTTTGTAGGGCAGAGGTGATCAGATGAGTGGATTGTCCAGTACCATGGAGGGCTTTTTACACAAGAAGTGCTTCTCTGCGATGCCAAGGCCCCTGGTGGACCCTTAAAGGCACAGAAACCCTAGAGGTGGACCAAGGAGGAACATAGCCTTCCAGTCATTTTATTTAGTGTCTGTCATCTGATTTGACATTGTTCTTTCAAAAAGAAATTTTTCCCCTGAAAAATGACATTTCAGTCAAATCCTGATCTCTCACTAGTCTACCCTTGGTAGCAGTTGAGTTGGTCTTTCATATTTATCTTCTTTCCCTCTGTCTTTTTACTGCAAGAACAGAAGTTGGAATAAGAGTTATCATGTGTGAGGCTTGTCTTTTGTTATTCTGCATCAGGACTGCCAGAACTTGCGTCTCCCCGCCTTTGTTCCTATTGCTGTCAACTGTGGATAAGTGGACTAACTAACGGTGGATTTAGAATCTAATTCTGTCAGATAATGTACAGTTCCTTTTGTTTAAAAAGTTTCCTTTTCCAATTTGAGGTACTCATTTTCTTCTCAACTCAGTCATTGCTGTGAATTGTTACCAACTCGTAGATAATCCTCCTGCTAGTTTTCAACCTGGTACCTTAAAGCTTCATCTCGGAGACACAGCTACACGTTATTTGCAGAAAATGCTGGCTAGAATGCTTAAGGACCGCCCCACAGCTCATTTCATCCAAGCCACCCTAGCCAACGAAACACCTTCAGAATCACCCACAGACCATCTTGCAAGTTGTTGACCTATTCAGTGAGGTCCTCCTTTATCATAGTTTGAGTTTGTTGTCTTCTGGTCTTAGAAGTGGAACTTGTCAGAAGTGGCTTTTTTCGGACCTTGTTCCTGTATACTTTTCTCCAGAGTCCCTTAATTTGAGCTTCAGTTCAATTGAACAGATACAACTTTTAGGTGCCCAGTACTGAGTTAAACAGTTGGATCCTTGTTACCCTCACAGGGAGGAGGACAGATCCTCAAAATAGTAATTACAAACACAGTAACTGTTTTGGAGATGTGAAACGGCAGATTTGCCCAGGGTGATTTCATCCCAGTTCACAAAAGTCGCTTTTGAGTTCCTTCTTTGTAACGTACCCGTGCTCTAGCTCAGCACCGGCTGAAATATTAGCAGTCTGTCCCTTATTTGTGCAGTGGACTACTGTGCATCCAGGGGAGGTCTTCTGTTTGCTCTGTAGTTGGACCCGCAGCAGGGTTATCAACGGCACAACCAGGTATACATGCCAGTGCTGCGTGACGTTGCCTTCTTAGCTGTATTTCTGCGCAGCTCGGAGAGCTGAGGCAGGAGGTCATGGACCCAAGAGAGTTGACCTCTCTCTCTCAGCATAACATTAACGTCAGCAGTAATGCAGTTCACACTAAACCTTCAGGAATAAAATGGGTTCATTATTTTAGGACTATGAGTCCCAAAACTTGTAAGCAGTGTCCCAAAAGAGTTGGTACATTTTATATCTAAAAGAAAAAAAAAAAATTTGAAAACCTAATCTATTCCCGGGGAGTAGTTTATAAATAGTTCTTAGCAAAAAAAAAAAAAACAAACATGAAATAAGGTTTCCATCATACAAGGGTCTAGAAAGTTGCAATGTCCAAACTGTCCCCCTTGAATACTTGTGCCCTTGCAGGTACGGTGCCTTATTCCAGTGACTAAATAAATGCTCAGCGTTCGTCTGGTACAGCAGGGGACAAAACTTGTCCTACAAAGTTCCACTTGTAAGTTGCCAAAGACAAGTGTATACTGTGTGAACTCTTTCAGTATACGCCTCCCTCTAACTTCAACCACTTTATAGTCACTTAATTGCTTTAGAGAAAAAAAAATCCCTGCCCTATATCTGTATCTTTACTTAGAGCAAAAACAGAAATAATGGAAACGATTCTTCTACAAACTTCAGGAGTTCAAGAAGTCAGTAATGGTCACCAAGAAAGTTCATTGTCACTTCTACAAACTGCAAGCCAAAAAGCCAATTGGCATCGAGTTGATTTCACCTGCAGGCAGGCCGTGTGTGTCAGAGTAGCGCCATGTTCCATCAGCACCTCTGAGTAGATTTAATTGTCAACCTTGCTATAAGCTGCTAAGTGCATTAACACTTGCACTGGCCAGGGACTCACGAAGCTGCAAAGGGGCTGTTAATTGACTAGTTGAGGAAGATGGCATCGGGGAGGAATAGCTTGGGAAGTCTTAGCACTGAAAGGATGGACCTACGACCCTTCTCCAGGCAGCCCTGCCCCCAGCCTTGTACACTGTACCCTGGAGGGAGTAGTTTCTCTGTAGATGGTGTATCTCAGTAGAGAATATTTCTAGCTCACACTTCCTGTCATAAGCCCACCATTTATTTTCTTTTTTAAAATGGACTCAATCTATTTTTCGTTTAAATATATATGTGCCTTTAGTTCTGTCATGAGCCCCAAATCCTCCTGTTTTCAGTGAACATAGCTCCAGTTTAGTAGGAGGACACCCCTATTTGCTTCCCAGACTCTCATTTTCCAGCTAATTCTTTCCAGAAACTCTTGTTATTCCACAGGGGAAGGTATCAGAACTTTGTCAATATTTGATCAACTACTAAATCTTCTAGAATCAAATTCTCTATCTATGGGAACCTTACTGAGCTTTATAAAGTAAGAAATCTACCTTAACTTTGTAACATAACCCAGAATTTCTCCCCCCTATTATTGTTCTGTATTCTGTCTTGTCTGGCTTTCTCCTCACCTTATTTTTTTCCCCCAGTCTAACTTATGTCTGTTAGGACACAGGATATTCTGTCTGTATTCATCTCCACAGATGCTTGTTAATAATATGGCTCCCCCCACCCCCCACTTGTTACCTCTGTGTTTACTTACGCCATCTTTCACTTTGCTGTGTACAGGACATGGTTTCTCATCTACTCATGTGCCATTAAAGATGCAGTATTAACAGATTGGCTTTTATAAAGCGTCCATATTTGTGTTTATTTTTAAAACTTTAAAGCAGCCTTGCAAATAAGTACTAAAACTTTACTAGCCCATAAATATTATTTATTCTACTCACCTGGCGTAAAAGGCTAAATGTTTGGTGTACTCACCAGGTTATTTGCTTATAACTAATAGTTCTTTGTAAAGAGGAAATAGGGGCTTTGTTCTCTCCCAGGGTACTGAACGCTATCGGGACACTGTCGTGCCCACATACAGATTTGTTGTGGAGGGCAGCAGTGCAGTGCAGGTATCTGCAGTCCATGTGCCTTCTGCCTTAGGACTGAGATGAGTCACTCACTGCTTCCTGCCTCAGTTCCCTTTTAAATACCTCAATATGAATCCAGTCTTGCCCGATATTTTAGCTTCCCCCCATTTTTGGTTTGTTTTGGGGTTTTTTCCTTGATTTCAATCAAAATAGCTAGTTGCTGCATTTAAATGCAGTTGTTTTATGTCCCTGCAAGCCACTGCATCTCTACTGGCCTTTTCCTATGTAATCTTTGCATAATGTTATCCTTCTCTCTCTTCCATTTCCCTATCACCAACCCCTATAGAGTCGGGATATAAGCCCAGAAGAGATAGATTTAAAGAATGAACCTTGGTATAAATTCTTTTCGGAATTGGAGTTTGGGAAACCGGTAAGTTTAATGGCTTCAGTGGTTATAGAACCTTTTTCAATGATGCTGTTGATGCATTGCTGCTGCTATTAATGAGTCAGAGCTTGCAAGGTTTCATTGCCATCCTTCACCAGGAAGGGGCTGTGAGCTCTGCAAGCATCTTCCGTCAGAATGTCCCAGAGACAGGACTGAATCCCTGCTTCTCCTAGCACCTCCCACCACTAGCAACACATGCCAGTAGTTTGTGGATGGCATCATTTTAACTATCCAATAGTCTTCATCCAACTTTTGTGAAATGCTAAAAACAGACAGGAAGCCACAATTCCTACAGAGAAGACCAGCACAAACTCTACTTTCAGTGACATTTTTAACAGCACAGATGCGAGGGAAGGAACAGGAGGGGCGCCTGTGCAGGTGTGACCCACAAACACAATATAAGCAACTTTCAGGGAACCATTTCCATGAGTTAGGCTAACATTTCCCAGATTTTGAGATGGGAGATCGATGTTCTAGCAAAGTCAGTCTTTAATCTGACATCGTGCAAGTCCACAGTGATGCCTCTGCGGTGATGGCTTGGTGAAGAGTGCCTTTTGTCACTTAAAGAAGAATCTCCTTAGCCACACAACCAAGGAATCCCCAACTGTGTGTGTTGTTGTTGTTGATTTCCCTTGAGTCAAGCACGACTCATAGTAACCCTATGAACAAAAGGCCTGAAGCCCCTCTAGAACTATAAACATTTATTTCATAGAGTTTTCAGAGGTACATTGTTTAGGAAGTAGATGCTGCTTCTTCCAACAACAACATAAAAAATATAATTTTTTAAGCCCAACTTGCCAAACTTTGCAATAGTTAATTGTATGGTTTAGTAAAATAGTAAATTCCATAATATGTATTTTTTTCATAAAGGCAAAGAAGTCTAATTTGAGTGCGCAGAGGGCAGGCTTGATTTGTGAACAATCCCAGCCAAGCTGTTGGAGGTAGACAGCACCCCCTAGTGACCAAAGGAGAGGAAAACATCTCACCCAAAATCTGCACCATCCCCTTTCTTGCTCCTCCACAAAGTTTTTGGTGCATGTCATTCCTTCTCCTTTCTCTCCCTTTTTCCCCTCTGCTTTTCTCTAGTCAAACATCACTTAAGTCTATCCGAGACATTCTTTCCTGTGTCCAGATTTTTAACAGTATTCTGTTTCTTTCTTTAAGGAGAAAAATGTATTTTGAAATGTATGCGTAGGGGAAAACCTATCGCGATTGGTTTAACAATAATATCATAATAAAAACAGTGTCTTCACCAATACCATCAAAAGCTACTAGTTTTGGAGTTAAATTACAAACAAAATGTCATTGTTGTTGTGGTTGTTAAGTGCCATCGAGTCGTAGACGACTCACAGCGACCCTATGAACAAAGACCCGAACACTTGTGTAACTTTCATCCTTTCTCCAAGTTCATAGAGTTTCCGGGGGCAAGTCATTTCAGAAGTGGAAATCATTCCTGCTTCCAAATTTGTTTTAATCGGGTAGCTCCTCCAAACACTGTCCACCATGGGTTACCATTATCACATTTGACACATCAGCATCAGTGTTCAGCATCACAGCAACCACAAACAAAAAATGCCTATACAAACAAAATGCCTAGGCCATCGATTTTTTTTTTCAGAAGTCCCTTTTGGAATTCACAAATTTCTACCCATCTCCTCATATAACTAAAAATTAAGGTAGTGTGGTCTGAAATACTTTTAGAAGTTTGGTGACAATTTTCCTAGTTAATTACTAATAGTTTTACTAAATCTATCATTGTTAAGTACTTTGAGTTTATTTTTGTTAGACATAAACACCATGTCAGTCCTGACATATATCAAATGGGCTTCTCTGACCTGCTTGATCATTTGCTGTTGTTTCTACTGGACAATGTGCTCTAAACTCCACAACCAAGTCAGGTGACTGTTAGAAACACTATCCACTTTCTCCTGAGTTCTTCCAGTAAACTGTGCCCCCTAGCCCACTGCTGTAACTGCCTCTGAATTATTTAGACATAGAGATGTTTTTCCAAAATGGCTTTGTCTCTGAAGGCAGCTGCATTTCTCACAGAGACCTCAGAGCTCTTGGTAATGGGCCTGATACTTTTGCGCAGGCCTTACTTTAAAAGGGGATGCTCCTGAGGACTTGCCAAAATGACTCCGTGCCCAGACACTGAGAAACAGCTCTGAGAAAATGGGTTCCAAACTGACCCTTGGATATTATTCCTAATGCTGGGAAAGAAGGTGGATTGGGGAGACATTTTTATTTTGCTTTACATTTCTCTGTCTACCCCAACCACTGTAGACTACACAAGAGTAAGAGATACAGAAAGTGGTAGTGTAAAATATGAACATTATTTTGGAAGACTTTTAGCTTCAAGACCACTACCACCAATGCTGTCAGGGCCACTCCCCTGCATGGCAACTTCTTGTGTATTCCAGAGGGTCTTGAGTGGTGAATTCCCCTCCGAGAAGTGTATGACCAGGACTTCTTTCCAAGGCACCTCTGTTATTATGTGCTGTTAAGTTGAGAATGACTTGCTAGCTGAGTCTCCAGCGAGTTTTCAGAGGCTATTATTCATAGAGGAGGAGACTGCCTGTCTTTCTCAGAGCAGCTGGTAGATTCAAGTCATTTTCCTTTGAGTTGGCTGCACAACTCCTTACCACCAGGCCACAGAGCTTCCTAAGGTGCTCTGAGTGGACTTGTATCTTCAGACCTTTCAGGTAGCAGCCATGCACGTTAATGGTTTGTGTATATAACCCAACAGGAGAAAGAGATCAGAACTCTTGCCAACTTGTATGGACCATCGCTTTGACATTTTTGCACACTAACTTGGGACCCCTTTCCCTTGATGGAGTAGAGCCAGCCAGATCTTTTAACATGAGGCTTTTTCCCTTTGAGCCAAAACCAAGCTGAAATGCCAGCAAGATCCCAACTGTAATGCCTTTTAGCTCTAACTATATAAAATATCACAGTGATCATTTAAGAACTATTTAATGCCAATTTAATACATAAAAGCCATCTTGTTTTTGCAGTAAATAGGTGGCAGAAGGGGTGCCCTATGTGACTTGAAAAGCCTCCTTCTGAGATGAACAATGCAAGTATATTAAGTGTTAACCATAAATGAGAATTGTTAATATTAAGTACTTTACAAAACATGTCTTAGTACATATTGGTACCCAGTGACTTAGCAGCAATAAACACACCTGGGATCCAGGTCACTTTTTGTTTGCAGACCCGTTGAAGCTGGGCATCAACTTCTATTTCCTCCCCACCCCCTAATTTATACAGAAATTAACGTGACTAGTGAGCACCAGGCAAAATCTCACAATGTAAACCACTTTGAATGCTGCCACAGAGTTTATTGCAATGAAATTTGCAGACAATTTTAGGAGCTGTGCATGAGTTCTTTTTCTCACTTCCCCAGAGGTCACAAAAGAAGCCAATCTAAACAGGGGCAATAAGAGATTCCACCAGATGACGGCATGAACATTAATGCCAGGTTCTGGAGTTAGAACAGATATGTTATAAAATATCTGAATGTCCCACCCTCTCACCCCTTCCCACATTAAACTTTTTCAGCATCTCCAGGCAGCTAGATACCTATTTCAGGAATTCAGCTCTAATTCTAATCTGAGATATTAAAAAGAGAAAACAGAAATAACCATGTGCCATGTAAGCTTTAGCTCTTCTCTGAGGGGAATGGCAAGTATATCTATATCAATAACTGTGTTATCAAACTCTATCTAAACTACGAAATGAGAATTTGTAAACTACCAGCGTGAAATTGTGTAGTTCCCAGTGCCCTATTTAACACTCATTTTATAAATGGATTTCATTGCCGCAAGAGAAGAGAAAAATAAACACATTCAGTTCAGCTTACCCTGTGTGGACAAATCACAGAATTCACACATTTGTTGAAACGTAATGGATTTCACAGTAGAAAAGACCTCGTCTAGAAAGTCAGCACACCAGTGTCCATCTTAGTTGGAGAAGAACAATGAGGAATAAAAACATTTTTCTTTTTGTTTAAGTTGGTGTTAATGCTTTCTAATTTGTTCCCTCCGTTTAAGTTTTTGGGACTTAGGTTCCAACAATATTTATTTATGCTTGAGCCATAGACCTAGAGACAGGCTGCTAGTTAATGTCTCCAGCTCACGGGCTCTCCAGGGTCCCTCTTGGAGTCAGTCTTGCAACCTCAGGTGACCTCTGTAGGGACAGCCACCCCGTGTGTTTTGAGATCACCTCTCCGTGTTGATATGATTCTCCCGAGTGTGCCCCCCACCCTTCCCCGTTTGAACAAGTCTCCGTGTTTGTCTTTATGTCTTTATGCTCATTTCTTCATTTCCTCCTCTGCTTCCCGTCAGCCTCCCAAAAAGATATGGGATTATACTCCTGGAGACTGCTCTATCCTTCCTAGAGAGGATAGAAAGGTAATGCGGCTGGGCCTCCTCTGTGGGATGTGTGTGCGCTCTAGCCTTGCTTAGTGTGAGTGTGTTGTGGTTTTCTTTTTGGTTTTTCTTGTTTTTTCAAAATTACCTTTTTTTTCTTAACTTGGTGATAACTTTTCTTTTCTCTTTTTTCTTTTTTTTGGCTTGTTAATAAAACTATTTAACAAAGTCTCTAAGAATCTATACTAATATTTCCAAGATTTTTTTGAAAGACATTGCTTCTTCTTCTGACATAAAACCATTGTCACATTCATCATACTTTGGGAATCGAGACCTTAAGTATTTCCTTAAAGGTAGGTTTTGTGGCATTCGTAGTTTCTCTTTAGCGAGTAGTTTCTCGAAGCTCCGATTACTTCAGGATTTGTATTTTTCTATGCCTCGATAGCACATTCTCTGTTTTCATACCTTTAACTAATTTCTACTTAACCCTCGTGTTTCAGTCATGCCATCTCTGCCATTTTTTAACATTTAACACTAATAAGATTCTTTTTTTTTTTCAAACTTAACTTCCCACTCTTTCTCTCCTTCCTCTAAACTAAAACGTTCTTTCCCATCTTTTCTTTCTCGAACCAGAATAATCTAGACAAAGATCTCACCCTCGGCCACACTGAGCCAGAGGCAGATTTAGAAAACCTGGAGACGCTTAATAAGGCCCCCAGTGCAAACCTGTCACAGGTATTTCCTAGTTTTTCTTGTGCCATCAGTTCCTTTCAAGCTGTGTTGTTTCCTCGTTTGCTCTGTGCTTTTTGATACAGTTGAGGTGATGAATGGGGATGCTGTTTTTTTTAAAGCTGCATGGCGCGCCAACCCTTATTTTAGATTTTCTTTTCCCCAGAGTTAATTTTTGCTTGGGTTTCTTTTGAGCTTGGCATCTTCCTGAAAAGGGATTTTTGAAGTCTATGAAGCATGGCTGGTGACTTAAACGCCTTGCCCTCACCAACTTTCTTCCGTTGCTTTTAAGCGGCAAGCCTTTTAAAGGCCTTTCCTTCACCTCCATATGCCGCCCTTGAATTATCAAGGAGCCCATTTTGGCCGTTTCCTTGGCTCCGGTGCAGCCCTGGGAGATACCAACCTCAAGATCATTTTAAAAAGCTGCAGCGGCAGCGATTTGGGTACCCTTTGTGCACATGGCACTGTCAGCATGGTAGCATTTGGCATTTTAAAGTTCAGAAAGTTCTCAATGAACACACACACTCCGGAGGTCAGGCAACCTGGTCACAAACAAGCATGTGAAACTCAGCCTGCACAGATAGATTGAAAGGAAGCTGTGTCAAGATGTGGTTTATTAAATGGTATGTCAGAGAGGATGCTCAAGGTAAAGATTCCTGTGTTTGGAGAACAGGTCCCAAAGATCCCTGACAACACCAGAAAGATGACCAAGGAAAGGAGATCTTAATTAAAAATAGAAAGGATTGCAGACAGTGGGAGGGAAGGTGCAACAGCTAATCAGCCCACGTTGTGCTTGAACAGAACTAAGACAAGGAGTCAGACCTTGCACATAAGTGACCTGGATGTGCAAAGCCCCATCAGTGGCAGAGACTGCAACCAGGGCTGGGATAGAGAGCCCAGGGGGTTGTATCAGCAGCCAAGGAGAGCTGGGCCTAAGAGGGCCAGAAGCTGAACAGCTGCAGGCACATCTGGGCTGGAGTAGGATTCAGGAATGCAGAGTTCCTGGTGGCTGCAGGAGGCAGCAGAGTTAGTGGAGAGTCCTCACAAACAGAACTCAAAGGAAGCACATGAGACGAGACCCAGTGTATGCGGTGGAGGGGATGAAAAAAGAGGGGGCCTGCATTTCCAGCAGCACAGAAGCCGGACCTGGGGCTCCACTGTGACATTAAAGGTCAGAGGGGGGACATGAGCCGAGCGGTCCATCCTCTCCCTGCGAGAGCTATGCAGCAAAAAAGGGCCGGAAAATGCCTGTGGAGGTGAAAAGGGATGCCTGCTCTGAGGAATCACAGGCGAGGGACAGAGCTCTCATCCTGGCCTACGGTGTGCTCAGAACCCAGAGAACCTAGGATGCTTCAGCAGGCAGAGGAACCAGGCAGGGGAGCCCCTGAGGAAGGCTGCCTCTCCGTCTCTGACGTGTTGCTTTTACCTCTTACACAACCTACTCCTCCTTTTATTCCCTTCTGGATATTTCTCATTCTCCCCAAATGTCTCTTCTCCTCCCGTTAGCCTCCCCCCTCCCCAAATAGTCCTCGGTAGAGATAGGTATTTTTTTTAACTAGTTATGTATTTTTTTTTTACAAGGCCTTTTTTAAAGTTAGATTTTGCACTGATTTATTATTCAACTACATTTTTTTTAAAAAAGCAAACAGGTTGAACTCTTTGCATTTTTCTCTCCAAGAAAACAACAGAAACCCTGAAGTGTACCATTATGTTCCTTTTTCTCTATGTGTACCTCTCAGTTAAATGGTTTCATCTTCTGGGACAGTGGCTCATGCCTTTATGAAACCTTTCCCCCTACCCCTGCTGAAATGCTCATCAGCTGGCATTATGAAACCACATTTCCCTCTGTTTTCACGCTTCTGAGTCTGCAGAAGTAAACAAATGAGCTAAAGAAAGCATGGTGTTTGAAAAGTCAGTTTTGTACATTCTGTGCCTAGGTTTAGGTGACTGTTCCCTGGGGATGGCATCTGGGGCGCATGCAGGAATGAGTATGTGATGGGCTTCGCACAGGGGTGTGGGGACTAAGGAGAAGCGGGTATCGGGGGCACTGTTGGAAGATTATATTGCATGTGGGCCATCTACCCAGTTGAGGCTGTGACCTGAAATCAGTATAAGCCAAGAGCTATTGCCCTGAGTCACCCAGAGCCTGTGGGCATCTCTAGATGGGTAAAAATCAGAGCAAGTGAGCCCACCTGCCCAAAAAGTTCCCCTCAAAGAGAGACCACTGCCCACCATCTACCATGAAAACCTTTCCAGCCTGGCTTCTGGTGTCCCTGAGGTACTTCCCTCAATTAGAAAGGAAGGGGACTTCTTTTCCTCTTGGCTTGTATAAAATACCTGAGTCAAAAGAAATCATTGGTACTTTTTTTTCTTTCTCTTTTGATATTTACAGAGCTCAACAGTCAGCCCCACTCCGGAAATGTCCTCAGAGCCTCCTGGATAGTAAGTTGCCACTTTTGTTTATAAGATTTCATGAGTAAAAATGGCAGAGATGCAAACTGCCTTGTGTTGGGGACCTTAAGTGTGTTCTGTTAGCAGTCTGATGGTCACAAAGGCAAGCTAGTTAAGGGGTTCAAATTAATTCTCTCCTCTTCTCCTCATCTAAATTATTTTAAAATTTATTTTATTTTTGTGTGCATACCATCGAATCAGATCCAACTGGTATATACAGGAAGAGATTGCTCCTCCTTCTCAATCAGAGGATCTGGTGGATTCGAACCATGTACCTCTGGGATTGCAGGGCAGCTTCTTGCCACTAGGCCACCAGAGCTCCCTTAAAAATTCATTTTTTGATGCTTCATACTGTATTTGATACGGTTTTTCCCTTTGTTAGTAGAACGTGAATTTGTATGTTGGGTCTAGACTTGAAGCTATCAGTTTTTGCTGATTTTGGAAGGTGGGAGGGATGGCTGCAACTGGTGGAAACTGGTACAAAGTTTGGGGTCAGCAGGATTGGGTCTGGGCTGGGCCTCTATGAGGCCATACAGGGAGGATGAGATGTGATCCTGCAGAGATGTGGATGATATCTTTATCCTGAATCCTTAGCTTCAAGGGTGATGTGTGCACACCCACCTCGCTTCATGGGGAAACCACCAGCACACTCATTTGTCCCTCCCTCCCCAAGCCACCCTGTGCCCTCCCGCAGTGTCTGTTCTAAGTACTTTGTCATCCAGCTATTGTCCCAACTCAACGTTTTCAGTGCTCCCCTTAGCCTTGTTACATGCGTGATAAATGGCAAACATTTCTACACGTACAAAAACATCCTAATTCAACCTTTCTGCACCCAGTCCCAGGTTAGTACCTCTCTTGGCTCACACGTCTGTCACCATTTACCTGCATTATGTGCCTGCGGTTTTTTTCGCTGCTGATAAATTATCAATGTCTCAGAGGCAAGCGCTGTATCTCCATGGTGCCTGGTTCAATCACAGCAGATGCAGCGGATTAGGAAGGGAGTGTGTTCTGGTGGACGTACTGTCCCTTCTGAATCTGCATCTGAGTAGGCGGGAGGGGCAGCGCCGCCACTGCCTGTGTCTGCTGGGCTGACACAGCCTGCGGGTTACCTGTTCATATATGAAGCCTGCTTGGTGTGATTGCTACATTTATGGATTTCTTGGCCTGTGTCATGGTCACTTGGGCGTGCCCTGCCTTCCCTACCAAAGATAAAATACTTTGCAAGAGGAGTTTCATTTGAAAGCTGGGATTTGAGTATTTCACTGAGTTCATGCAAAACCCTTAATCCTCTTAGTGGAGTAATTAGAATGTCCAACTGGATTCATTATGTTAATTTTCCTTCTGTAAATGTCTGTTGTTGTGTACTATTGAGTTGTACCTTAGCTGACTCTGTGGCGGGTTATCAGAGGCAGCTAATTGCACGGGAGGAGATTGCATATCCTTCTCCCACAGAGCTCCTCTTGGCCGTGAACTGCATGTTTTCAGGATTGCAGTGCAACCTCTTGCCACTAGTCCACCGGAGCTCCCTCTATAAATATGTATGCTTTATTGTTACTATATCCCAGAGCATAAGAAATTGAGATGCTTCATTAGGACAGCAGCTCAAGTAAAAGTTAGCTGCCTTAAAGAGTAGTTTCTGCCTTAGAGACTCAAGCCAAACCCATTGCCTTGAGTCAGAACTGGCCCACAGCTGACCTGCCAGTGGGTTTCAGAGGCTGTAAACGACACAGCAGGACATTGTCCAGCTTTCTCCCTTAGTGACACTGGTGGATTTGAACCACCTGTCTTTGGCTTGGCAGCGCAGCTCCCTACCCTCGAGACCACCAGAGGTTATTCTGCCTTAGAGAAGACCAGTTATAAAGTGTCTTCCTCTTCTTTGGCTTTGGTGTTCAGGCCACAGATAGGACAGAAGTGTCAGAGCTTAGTTATGGCTTCAGAACGTCCTCCCTTTCTCCCCTTATTCTGGGATCTGAGGCACTCACATACTCTTTCTCTTTTTATATTGTGGTAAAAATGTGTAACCATTCCCTGTTTCAGAATTTTTTTTTTTCATGTACAATTCAATGATATTAACTACATCCGTCATACAACTACACCACCATCCATTTCCAGATTTTTCTGTCACCCTTAACAGAAGCTTAAGGACAATTTAAAGGAGCTTCAGACTGAGCTCAAAGTATGACCACAGCCACGTGCCCGTTAGGTGCCAGAAGTGTGTTTTTAGAAGTTGACCATACGCTACCTGAGGCCAGAGGACCTTCGCAGAGTCCCAGCTCTCGGCAAGCTGTCCTTGCTCCCAAGGGCCGTCTGTCTGTGTTCAGCTCATCACTTTGGGCATCCTGATATGCACCCAGGTGGCTTTTAAACCAGGTCTCTCCTTGCCTCTGCTGCTATAGGACTTCCCAGGGTTAACCCTGCTGCCTAGTGCCGCCCCACCTTCCTGAAATGCAAAAGGCAGAAAAAGGCAGCCGACTGAATTCTTTACTTAGTTCTGCTAAATCGAAGGCACTTTACTAGATGTTGTTGTTGTTGTGTGTAGTCGAGTCAGAACTGACTCATACCTCATTTTAAAGAGGATTTTCAGGGTCAGTAAACTGAATAGGACGAGATTGCCCATATTTCTCCCAGAGAGCAGCTGGTAGATTTGAACCACATACCTTTGGGATTGCAGTGCAGCTTCTTACCATCATCGCTCCCTATTATATGATAGAGTGCTTTCATTTATAACATAAAACAAACAAAAAAGAAATTTTCTAAATAAATAAAGTAGACCGATAGGATCAAAAGGATTCAGCAGAACTTTTGGAAGTAGATCGTGATGATGGTTGTAACAAAACAGTGAATGTTACTTTTAAAAGTCCACGTCATTGCATTGAATGAGAACTATCTCAGAGCTGACCCTCTGATGGGTTTCCAAAGCTGTGACTTGCAAGAGGAGGAGATTGCCCCGTCTTTCCCTCTCGCAGTGGCTCGTGGATTTGAACCATGAGAGTAATGTGTTCTTTGAGTTAGCACAGCTCCCTATGCATTGTTGTGTATACCGTCAAGTCAAAACCAACCCATAGCTGACCCTCTGGTGAGTTTTCAGAGGCAGTTAGTCACACAGGAGATTGCTCGTCTTTTTCTAGCAGAGCGGTAGGTGGCTTGAACTGCATGATTCTGGGATTGCCGCATAGCTTTTTGACACTAGGCCACCAGAACTCCTTCCCTGTGGGCTACTCCACCTAATACTCAGTTGTACATTTGTTATTCGGTGCTGTCAAGTCGAGTACAACTCATAGTGAACCTATGAATAATCAATCTGAACACTGTCCTATTTTGTTCATCCTCACAGTCTGACACACTCAAGCCCATTGCCAAAGTCACTGTGTCAACCCAACTGCTCGAAGGTCTTCCTCTCTTTTGCCACCCCTCTACCTTCCCAAGCGTGATGTCCCTCTCCAAGGATAAACTCCCTTAGCACCATGCCCAAAGTATGTGAGACAAAGCTTCATCATCTTTGTCTCCAAGCAGCACTCTGACTTTTCTTTCTCTAAGACATATTTGTTCTTTTGGCAGTCCATGAGACATTCAGTACTCTTCTCCAACACCAAATTTCAAAGGCATCATTTCTTCTCCTGTCATCCTTATTCATTGTCCAGCCCTCAGATGCATAGCAAGTGTCTGAAAAGAGCAGGCCCTGAATCAGGAGCACCGTAATCCTCAGACTGACATAATTACTCCTCAATAACATGGCTATAGTCAAAAAGATTATTTCACATTCTATCCTGAAGTACAGTGTTGTGAGTGATAGGACACTATCTATACATGTACAAGGAAGATGTGTTCATATGACTATTAAAATGGCAAAGTTTGCTTTTATGTTTTAGCACAATAAAATTATTCGGTGGGGAGGAGGGAGAAGAGAAATCAGCTACCACTGACTTATGGGTATAATCATAGTGATTTTCTGAGCATTTACTATGTGCCAGGCCCTCTAATTAGCACTTTATACAGCTTACCTCGTTTAATCCTCTCTACATTTTAGTAATGAGTGTTATTTTCAGTTCCCATTGGATTGTTAAAGAATCTGGCATAAAGAGACAGTGGCATAATGCAGAGTTCTATCCAGAGCAGGGAAATATAGTTTGAGGTCTGAGGACTGATGGTGACTGACTGTAACGTACTGTTTCAATCTTTGATAAAAAATTAACAGAAGCCACTCCAGTTTCACAGGGAACTCTGCTGGCTAAGAGGTAAGGAGTTGTACTGCCAAGCCAAAGGCTTGTGGGTAGTACCCATCAGCTCCTCTCATCCAGTTTTTAGCCTCTGAAAACCCACTGGGGGTCAGCCGTGAATCAATTTCAACTTGACAGCACATAATGAAACAACAAAATTCTCGTTTCCTGGTTCTGAGCAAATGAAAAGCAATTTAGCAAAAATTGTCTCAACCATTGTAAGTATTTATGTACATAAAGATACTTGTTGTGTTCATTGGCCCAGTGCTTGTATTTCTCTCATTGAAATGGCTCTCCAAACACCTGTTCTTCATTTTTTGTTGTTTAGTGCAGTCAAGTCACTGTGACCCCGTGAATAACAAATCGGAACCTTGCCGTATTCTGTGTCATCCTCACTACCTTTGACGTGCTCAAGCCATCGTTAAGGGTGACTGTGTTGTTCCATTTTAGTTCACCTCTCAGGAAATGACTAAACAGCAGCACCTAACAACCTAACAACTTAAGAAATATTTAGCAGGAATAGACATTTCTACACACACACACACACACACACACACACACACACACACTCTTATTCTCCCCTTTGGGAATTTTTCAGCAGTGAGCTGAAATGAGTGAGAATTGTCCTTGTTTGGAATGAAGACGGATGAGTCACAGGTGGCCCAGGTCCAGAATGTCCCCAGTCTGAAGACATAGTGGTGTGGTTCCGAATCCTCTCATGTCTTATACAAATGGCAAGAAAGAAGGTCACCATTAGTCCCAGTTTCCCAATAC